ATCTGTTTCTTGTGCTAGTTCCGTTAGAAGCAGGACTTCATCTGAAAGCTCTTGGGATGGATCAACTACAAGGGGCTCAAAGCCAGCTAGGGATAAACGGAATAGGAAAGTAGTTTCTGGAGCTGCACCTGCACTCTATGAAAAAGGCAAGAGTGTTCCTGAACATTCAATCCAGGTGGAAGGTGATAGCAGAGAGTGGATTCCTGTATCAAGCAGTGAAACTCGTCCTAATGTTGCTTCATTTCAACTTCAAAGGCATCAAATACAGGGTCATGAACTAGCTCAGGCAAGTGGATCGGAGTCCACAGTGTCTCTTGCTCCATTCATCCTTGGCCATGGCATGCAACGAAAAGAGGCTGATAGTTCTGGATATACTTTTGTTCCCACTGGTCCACCTGTTCCGTTCCTTGCAATGCTTCCGATGCACAACTATCAAGCTGGTGGTAATGCGACATCAGAAAGCCACCTCAGTGTGGATGAGGTAGTAGAGAATCATGACCCCGCGTTCAGGGGACTTGATCAGTCTGAGATAAGTTTGTCTTCGCACTCCACCGGAGTTGGCTCTTGTGTTGAACCAAGGGAGCACAAAAATGATATTCTCAATGGAGATATTATGAGTCATTGGCAAAATTTGCAGTATGGCCGCTCTTGCCAGAGTTTTCAACATCCACCTGTCTTGTATCCTCCTTCTGTTGTAGTGCCACCTGGTTATCTCCAGGGGCGTTTACCATGGGATGGTCTTGGAAGACCTCTTGCTTACACAAATGGAGCTAATCAGCTCATGACCTACGGACCTCGCCTTGTACCCGTTGCTCCTGTTTCGACCAGGCCACCTAATAATATTTATCCTCGTTATGCTAATGAAACTCCCAGATATCGAAGTGGGACGGGGACCTATTTTCCAAATCCTGTAAGAACTGCGTCCCTTCTTTGAGTTTCCATTATATTCCGTTGTGTGCAATCAAGTTACAAATTTCGTTTTTTGTTGTCTGGCTTAAGGCATGAAGAGGAAATTTTATGTTATTTTATTATTGATACAGTCTTATGGCTTATGCGTCTTGAATGAATTCACAGTATGTTTTGTCTGCTTACTTTACTTGCCTTCAAGTCTGCTACTTAGTTTAGGCATGTTCCAGTCTGTGCTTGTGGATCTTGTTCGTTCTGAACATCTTTATCCCCCTTGCATTGCCATCTCCTTCTTTATTGATTGTATGTTGTCTTTCGTTTATTTGTATATTAAGATATAGCATTCAAGACGGTTTTGGATTTGTCACACTGCTCTAAACTTTTTTTTTTGTGTATTTGTTGCAGAGAAGGGAGCAGCGGCCTACATCTGGCATGAGGCGAGGGAATAATTATGGACATGACAGAAACAACGACCATCAAAGCGAGAGAGAAGGTAACTGGAACGCTGGTTCAAAGGCACGGGCCTCGGGACGTAGTAGTAGCTACAACAATCGTAATCAAGTTGATAATAATAAGCCAAGGCAAGACCACCGATCCGATAGGCAATGGGTGTCATCATCGTATAGGCATGAATCATCCTCATATTCGTCTCACCATCCTCCTATGCGCTCACAAGATGCTTCTGGGAATGTTGCGTATAGCATATACAGACTGCCACATGGCATGAAGCAGAACAGTGAGGGACACAACCCTCCTCCATCTGCCATGATGTTTTATCCGTACGATCAGAACAACTCTGTGGATGAAGCACCGCATCTTAATGAGGGAAACCATTCAGCTGGTGGTGAGGCATTTGAAGATCAGCAGCCAAGGTATCGTCGTGGTTCTCACACTGATGATCCTTCCTCGCCTCGCTTCCCTAGGTAACTTCCATTTCACAAAAGTTTGGTTTCAGAGTGAGACAGTACACTCTTGATCAGATTGATTTTTCTCACCAAACAGGGGAAAGTAACATCAATGAGGGTGGTCAAGTTTGGCTGGAACTGATCAATCTCAGACCAATCTGGTGTTTTTTTGTTGAAGCAACAAAGAAAGAAACCAAGTCAAGGGTAATCGGTAAGCATCACTCAGCGACCCAACCTGGTTAAGAAAACGCAACGCAGAGATCAGATCCTAGAGCTAGCTGGTTAAAAACTTTTCTTTGCTCTCTTTCCACAGAAAATGTAGTCTTTTTGCCCACAAAGAATTACTATTAGAATTAAGGGCTCATCGTCAATCATGTTTCTATAAAAACATTCAAGAACTAATGTCCTCTACGTTCTTTTTAGCAAGAAAAAAAAAGTCGTATACTTTTTAGCTGTACGTGTAGTTTTGCTTTGATTATTAAACCATTATCATAGGCAGAAAATGTAAAATAAGATTACCCTGTGTAGGTTAAAAGTCTAATTAGTGCTGTGTTTTCTTTGCTTGTTGGACTACCCTCTTCTCACCATTTATTTATCTTTGAAGAGCGTTTGAAGTGAGGCCACTCGTTTTGAGAAGACTTTTTGATTTGAATCTCATGGTATAATTTTCAGAAGAGAGGTGGTCCTGATGGAAAATAATGAAAAAATGCCATTCCAAAAGAGTCACAAAGAGCCCATGCCTTGTCGTCGTAACACAACAATCAACAACTTGACTATATATATATACATTGGTTTGGTGTCGAATTTTATTGTATTCAGTGTGGTTTTGAACCTCTCTTTTTTTTTCCAGTTAGTTATAATCTCATTTCATTATAAGCAATAACATAAGAAAACACGATTAGAGGTAAAAGACAAGGAAGATTGATTAATTCACAATCAGGAGAGATCTCCTTTGGTGCCTAGTGTGAGAGATTATTAGAAGAAAGGTGGTCCTTGCCAAAAATAATGCTATTCAAAGACAGAGCAGGCGATGCCATGCCTTTGTTGTCGTATCGTAACAATTTGATGGTCATTCACTGGTTTACTTCGATTCATTTTTGTTGGTTTTGGTTTGATTCGGTTATTTAGCGGTAAATTCTAAAATTAAAAAAAAAAGCCGTTCCATTGTCAAAATTTGACCGTCTCTCTCAGTCAAGTGCTACTGGACTTACTGCATTTTACACATCACTGACTTATTGTTCTATAGTTATTGTTCTACGAATTTTCAGAAAGCTTTTGTTTTTCTGTATTTTAGTCTCTAAGCTCGCTCTCTGTCTTCTTCTTAGTGGTGTCTCTATGTCACAAATTATGGTTGGCAATTTTCAGTGTGTTCCTATGATATGTTGAGAGGCTTGTTTCATTTCTGATATAATCAATTTGTCGACTTAACTACTCAGTTTTCCGGAGAGTAAGATTTAGGGTTCGTTGTTGGATTCTTTTAGGTGAGATTCGCTGTTGCTGGATCTTTTTATATAATTTGGATTTGTTTATTTGAAGTTCTCACTATAAGCTCTTTCTGCTTCTTTTTTTTGGTTCAGTATTATTTTATTAGAGAGCTTCTGTTCATGTGGGGGTGTTGTTTATTGTATTCTTAATCTTTTTAAAAAGTTTTGTTTATATTATCATTGTTCTTTTCACAATCTCCAGCAAATTTGGATTCAAGATTTCCTTCTTTTGTTTTCTAGTTCCACAAATGGCAAAACGTTTCTGGAATTAAATTTGGATTCAAGATTTCTCATGGTGGTTTTCCAAGTTGGTGAATTCATTACTTGTACTGGTGTTGTTGATAATGTGAATGTGAAGTCTATGACTATAGTTTTCTTTATCATATATTAGATAAGATTCTGTATTGTGGGATCTGGAACCCTATTAAACAAATGCTTGAAGGATTTATGCTTGTTTGACAATAAACTATTCACTGTGGAAAATACTATATACCCTCCTTTAATTTATTTATTTAGCATGCTAAATTGTATTGCCTTGACTGTTTTGAAGAACTATGGCCTATATCTAATTGTTTTCTTCTGCTTCTTGCTATTCAGGATTATCTTTTCAATACAAAAACTGATCAAGGTTTTTAGCTTTATGGACTGCCTTATTGTAAATGCTGCTTAAGTGAAGAAGTCTGATCATCCATGCAGTTTATATTTTATCAGTAATGAATAACGGACAGGTATAACATGTTCTTCTCTATAGTACACTTTGTTAACTTTGTAACTTTGTTATCTCTGCTTTTCTTACGCTTCCTTGTTTTTTTCTGAAATGTCTAGTTGTAGTTACTGTTCTCTTGTAGCTTCTTATTCATGTCAGGAATTGATTGATGGATTTAGATCAGTACATACATAAGCATCTGTTTCAGTATTTGTAGACTTTTTGTCACCAATAAGTTAAAATATTATTTCAAATGCGCACAGGAACTAGTACAATCTTCCACTCAAGCTTCACATGAGTCCCAAGGTGAACAGAAAATTAACCAATCAATAGATGCTCCTCCTATTCAAGATTCTGTTTCTGTATCTGCTTCAAGCAATGACACTAGGAAAGTTTCAAGACATGATATTGAACTTGTAAGAACAATATGTGCTCTCCTCCTTGTTATTTCAACTACAAAAAAAGTAGATGTCTGATGATAAACATGATTGATGCAGGTCCAGAATTTGATAGAAAGGTGTCTTCAGCTATACATGAACAGAGATGAAGTCGTGAAGACCCTCTTGTCCCGTGCAAGGATAGACCCTGGATTTACAAGCTTAGGTGAGCATTTTTGAAATCTCTTTATTCATTTGAAATATGAGAAGTCCATTATTGATCATTCTCTTTTTATTGTGAAATAAGTTTGGCAGAAACTGGAAGAAGAGAACGGTGACTTCTTCAGGGCTTATTACATCAGGTTGAAACTAAAGAAACAAATAATTTTGTTCAATCATTTGCTTGAGCACCAGTACCATCTCATGAAGTATCCTCCTGTACCTCCAAAGATTCCTCTGGCACCGATGCATCATCACATGGCACCTGGTAATAAGTCTATTAGCACTTACAAGTAAAAGTTTTTTGGTTACATTATTACTTTAACACTGTTCTTGTTTCGCAGTACAGTAGTTAACATGCCAATGGGATATCCAATACTACAACAACATCCTCAAATGCATGTTCAAGGCCATCCTCATTTTGATGCAATGGGAATGTCAAGATGGGATGTTGTTAATGGAGTCCCTGCACCTGCTAATTTCCAGCCATTTAACACAACAAATGAGTAAGAAGAACCAACAAATCTGTTTTTTTTTTTTTATCTAGCTGATGTCTTAAACTTTAAAAAGAATATCTTTGTTATTTATGTTTAGTATGGTGAATGATACAACTGTGGAAGATGCAACCCCTCAAGTGATTCCACCAAGGAGTGGTGAGATGGCAGTGAGTCCAGCTTCTGTGGCATCAAGTGGACACTTTCCATTTGATGCTTCAGATATGGTAATGGATGCTTCAGTGCTTGATTCCCCGTTCATTTCTGATGTTGGAGGAGGTGTGAATCCAGGAGATTCTCTCAGGTCATTTGATCAGATTCCCTGGAATTTTAGCCTTTCTGATCTCACTGCAGATCTGTCAAACTTGGGAGGTAAGTTTCAACTATACATCTTTCTTTCTTTTTTTTTTTACTTTTTGGAGGTAAGTTCCAAATTTACATCATTTTGTGTTATATATATATATATATGTAACAAGAGTTGGTTGTTGGATAAAAGATGTGTATGTTGCAGAATTAGGAGGCTTGGGAAACTATCCAGGCTCTCCATTTCTTCCATCTGATTCAGAGATTTTGCTTGATTCTCCTGACCATGAGGACATAGGTAAACATATACTTTACCGTTCTCCATTAACCACTACTACTAGTCTTGAAACATGTCAGTAGAAAACCAAAACAGAGTCAAACTGATTCGGTTCTTGTTTGGTTTATTATATACATTGTTGTGATGCTCTGTGATCATTCATTATCTATGATCTTCATGTAAAGTTTTCTTTCTTGTTTTGCTTTGCATGGAATAGAGGAGTTTTTTGTGGACGTGCCTGGACCTCCTTGTTCTAACTCAGATGAAGAGAAGCTTTGAATTGAAAGGGAAACGGCTATATATATATATAGTAATAATCTTCTTCAGAGACACATCAAGCATTGTTTTCTTCTTTAAATAACAAATATAACTACTCTGTTACATAAATAAAAGTACTTTTTGAATAAGAGAGGTTTATAGAACCTATTGATCTATTATAAGAGAGGCTGTACAATAAGTTATAATAAGTATCAGTGTTTCTTATTATTCAATGTTATAGCACTAAAATGCTTCACACAAAGTCACTGTAGCATCTCCTCATTTCCAGAAGAGCATTGCTGGATCAGCTCCAGCTTCTGTACCAGCTTTTGAAAGAGTTGTTTTTTTTGAGAAGAAGAGAGAAATCATAATCTTTGTCTTCCTTTTTTGAGCTCTATTGTAAACAAACATTAAGCAAAGAATATAAAGTTTGGGAACAATTTTAATCAATGAAAGAGTTGTTTTTTTCTGTTGTTGTTTCTCTCTGTGCTTGATTCTTCACTTAGCTGACGTTTGATGATGGTTTTGAATGTGTGTTTACTTACTCTTTACTTATTTTTTTTTGGTTTGTCAACTTTCCTTTCCTTTATAGCAAAAGTCATGCGAGAGGGAATGATGAATGAGATTTGTCTGAGACTTTTTTTTTAAAATCAATATCACTCTCTATTAGAAGGAAAACTTGAATTAAAAAACAATGGTGACAGTACCATCAAATGAAGCTTACATATTTTTGGATGTTGAGGGAAATCCTTCCACAACCATAATACAAAAACAGATACACCATACATGATACTACTGCAACACACAAGAGTAAGCCCAAAAAAGGCACCAGCTTCTTCTTTCCTCTTGGTTCAGAGAAGTCAAACATCATATACATAAATCAAACGCCACACACTGTATAGTCCTTATCTGAGCTAGCCAGCTTCAACCATCAAAAGCCACACTGTATAGTCCCACCGTATCTGAGCAATAGACCAACAACAACAACAATCAGAAAACAAACAAACAGAGGTGACAAATAACATGACAAGAGTTGGTTTCTCTGCCACTTGTGAACATAGAGGGATAAATGAAAAAGAGCTCGTACATAACTTACACTCACAAAATCAACAGAGAAGAGCTGTTAAAGCCGCCAACAAAGAAGGATCAAAAACCCAAAACAGCCCCATCATCGAGCAAAGCAAACGCATCCACCACAGCATCTGAAACAACAAAAACGACAAGTAGATCGATCACATGGAACAAACAAATAGGCCAACGATGCAAGCTAAACAAAAACGAAAAACAAAAACCAGAAAAAAGAAAGAAAGAAAGAAAACAGGGGAAATTTTATAATTGCAAGACTGATTTGGAGTAGGCTCAGTGATCATAAGTGGTCAAAACAAATGAAACATACTTTTTACATCTAACCATCTCATGAGACAGGATATCTGCTCAAATGTCCATCACAAATGTACACATACAAGTTTCCTCACGATCAAATCAAGTTGTAAATAACAAGACCGATTTGGAGTAAGCTTAAGTGATATCATAAGTGTTAGAAACAAATAAACATACTAACTCTAACGGACTCGTCAACAACAGTAGGGGACATATTCTGCTCAAAATGTTATCTCACTAATTTACACATAAGTTTCCTCACGATCTAATCATGCTTTTTATAAAATTTCCCCTTCAAAACCTTTGAAAACGTTTTTTTTTTTGTGTAATAAGGATATTAAGTAAAGAAGAACACCTGATAAACCAATGAAGAACGAGCAAGGCATCGTCCATGGCATGGCAAAGATTAATCATTAATCATCCGTGTGAAAAGTGAAAACACCGGAAAAAAAAATCACTTTTGTAGAGAAACAAAAAAATAATAATAAAGACAAGAAGATAAGGTTCTGTAATAAAACATAAGAGAAGGACTTTATTTATAGGTAAAGCATCAAAGCTATCCAACGGTCAGAAAATTATATTTATTATTTTCTCCAACGGTTAGAAAATTTGTTTCCATTATTTACTTTTATTTTATGTTCAAACGGTCACTGACTCACTCCCCAGCTGTCGAACTGTAAAAGTTAAATTTCAAATCCAAAAACTATTTGAGACTTCGTACATGAAATAACTCATTAACAAAACTACATCATATCCTAATGGGCCTCAATTACAAGTTTTTGAGAAACCAAGCGTTGGTTTCTATTTAAATAACACATAAACTACGAGTGCTCCAAAACAAGTTTACAGGTCCAAACCTGAACATGATGATCATCACAATTTTTTTTTTAGTAAAAAATGCTGAAGAAGGCAAAACAACACACACTAGAATATGCTTACACTTCGTAAGTGCTGTTGGTGTGTACACAACCAAGCAGCATTTATCTAGCTCATCCCACTCAACCTTAGGGAGTTTCCCATGTACTTACACGTACTTTAGGGAGTTTCCCATGTCGAATGAAAACTTGAATCAATATGATGTCGGATTTCTCTAAGTTATCGTCAAGCACCAGTGGTCTAGTGGTAGAATAGTACCCTGCCACGGTACAGACCCGGGTTCGATTCCCGGCTGGTGCATTTTTTCGTTGCAACTTTTTTTTGTTGGTTTATTGGGCTTGTTAAAATAGAACTATTGAAGCCCAACAATCATCAGTCTTGATTGATACTCTGGTCTGGTCCAAGACTTGAGGTAGAAGCATATACCTATAAAGGGGTTTCAATGTGAAAGGTATGAAATATAGGAGAATGATCACAAGAGGACAAAGGAACATCTGAATTTGCATTGTTCCTACACAGAAAACTCCTTAATCTGCAATTTAGTTACTGCAGAGACTAAATACATGAACATCAATTCTTAACATATTTTTTTGAGTTAATAAGCGCGCCTTCTACCATCACAGCTAGTACTGATCAAAGTCACAGACAGGGAAACGAACAAGCTGTTAATCTGTCAATAAGATATATTTTATGATTGCAGCATCTATTCTATGGTTCCTTCCCTTTGAACTTTCAGCTCACCACTCAAACCCTCACTCAATTACAGAGTCAAAACCAGAGGATATGATCAGAAAAATGAAATACACTTCAAAGTCAAACTAAACAGTAAATAAATATATTCTATAGATTGAGATAGTTGGTCCATATGGCTTGACGTCTTATAAACATGACTTCTTTCTCCAATATATTTACCAAAACAAAGAGAGTATGGTGAATCCAGTTTACAAAGGACTAAGTGAACAATAAGCTTTTTCTTCTGATGGAACAATAAGGCATTGTCCCAATATATATAGGTCAACATATTAGTTATTACTTATAACTAAGGCTTCAAACACACCCAATACATAAAATACTATTAAAAAAAAATCCATGGGCAAAAGCAAAAACAAATAATCATTAGAGAAGTCACATCATGAGGTATTCATTGGTAGGCAATCTTCTGAAGTAGTTCTTCAAGGCAGAAGGCAGATCCAACCGAGCAAACGTGAAGTTAACCCATCTGAAAACAGAGATGGTAACGCAAGCCTTAACCAGAAACTCAAACAAACAATAGTAATAGGCGAGCAAGACCACGTAAAGCAGAACCATTAAGCAAATCCGCAAGATTGTACTGTTCATACATAACGTATATAACGCGTAAACCCTGTCTCCTTGTGCCGCAGCTTCCCCCAAAAACACCATCCCATCCGCCCCCATATCTCTCAATCTATCGTACCTCATCTTAAGAATTTTCTGGTCGACAGGCGACGCGTCAAACTCCTCGTCTATCTCGTCAAGGTTGTTGGGAAGGTCGAGCATCGAGAGCTTCGCGTCGAAGAGAACCAAAGGAGGAGGAGGACCAAGACCATTCCTCGTCCTGTAACATTCCATCAAGATCTTGCACGCTTCGTAGACAATGAACCCCACAGGGCATAACGGGTATAACGAGATTACAAGCCACAACACATGTGGAAGCACCCAAAGAACACAAAAGCAGACAACAAACGTAATCCATTTAGGAGTATTATCTGTCGTGGATCTGATCTTTGAATCTAACAGACCATACTTGCTTGACAGCCACGCATAGAATTTATTAAGCCTGTGGAGATTAGCTTTGGTTCTTCTCAAACTGAACTCTTTACTCTTGGGCTTCAACATATCCTTAACCACTTCAGTTCTCAATGGCGGCTCTGTTCTCGCCAGGTTCTGACAATGCACATCCATAGCAAATGATTGCAGTTTGTCGACCTGAGGCAACCCTAGTGGTGACTTGTAATGAGACTTTGGTAACAGCAAACGGAAAGGAGCCATAGCAAATGCGTACGATGGTGGAAAGAATATTAACGTTGGTGGTGGACAAGCACATCGAACCGCGAGCTGAATCTCACCTGCATGCCCGAATTTGAGTTTTTAGAGACTTATAAACATTTATCAAATAGAAAAAAAATTATAAAGAATTTTGATTAAAAATAGATATTTATTACTTTCTACGTCTCAGTTTAATTGTCATTCTAAGAGCACCCGCAATGGTGAATCCTTACGGGGAATCCTTAGAGAAATATTAATTTTATAATTAATGGGTCCCATGAACAGTTAAGGATTTCATCCTAAAAATCCTTATGTAAGGATTGATCCTTACACTATTCATGGGCTCCACTGCATACGTGGCGGTCCGTGAGTGGTCAGTTTTTTTTTTTTTAAAGAAAAAATCTGAAATATCCTTATATAATCCGAAATACCCTTTTTTCTTTTTCCTAAGGATTCCTCCCAAGGATCTGCCATTGCGGATGCTCTAAGTTTTTAGACACAGACTAAATAAACATTTAATTTTACATATTTTCAAGATAAAAACACAATTAACTATATATCTAACCACTTTTCAACCAATAGAAAAATAAAATATCATATAAAACTAATAATTTTTGCCTAGAAACTCTAAAACGACACTTATTTAGAAACATTTTTTTTTCACTAGAATGACAATTAAATCGAAACGGAGGGAGTAAAATTTTTGATTAAATTTTTTTTAAAAACAAGAATATTGAAAGCCAAAACGAATGTTTTATTGTTTGATAGATAGGGTCATATATATGCTCACCTGATACCTTTAACCCTTCTTTCCCTAACACCAAGATAGGGTATGAACCAGTGTAGATCCTGTTCCATTGAAGTAAACTCAATGGGATCCTCACTTTCCCGATAGGAACATCGTTAAGCTTATCATCCCTTAAGACCTGATGGTTGTCGTAGACTCCAAGCGTTAAGACAGTACACATCTCGTATATGTCCCAAGAATACTGCTCGTTCCACTTAGGCGACTTGTTATTGACCACGGTCCGAGTCCTCGCCCATTTGTTCCCATACTTGGCCACAACGTAAGCGCTCCTATCGTGGTTCATGTTTTTCAATTTAGGTACACCGGTTGCACCTAAAATCCCAACCTCTAGCTTCCCTAACGTACCGGGCCATAACCCTTTTGCGAAGGCACGGTAATCGCTACAGTAGTGGATACATTCATCAAAGACGTGGTAGGATTGATCAGTGGCTAGTCTCATCTTGAGTGTGCTGGTGAACCGCCTCGTGTCGCCTTCCGGATAGGTGTTACCGGGCGGTTTAATGTCGTAGAATAGAGCTGGTGCTGCTCCTGGAACTTTAAGAGCTGCCATATCTGAGAGTTTTATCTCTAATGTCCCTATGCATTGTTCCTCAGACGGTTTGATGATATCCATTAGTCGTATTTTGACCGTTCCTTCTAACGACTCTGACGCTACAAATGTGAGATCTTGGTTCCAAGACGGGTCCTTACCAGCGGAAACACCGGTTTTTAAACAGACTTGATATGGCTCTTCACCTCGAATTATCTTCACGTAAACGTTAGGTGTTCGTTTTGGATTGGTAGCAAGCAAGTCATGACCTGAAACAATTGTAACCCTAACGTAACATAGCCTTGGGGATAGGTAAAGTTTAGGTCGCGTGTTGGGCATCTTATTAGGAGGGACAGTAGACGCGTCAGCAAACCAAGCGTTTGAGTAAACCTCATCGGCTTGTGTACCGAACCAAACCGACATCAGCAACTCCATGTGGTAACCTTCCACAGTGCTCGATATAGGGTACCAATGAGGAGCCAGTCTTGCATCTGGAGGAACCCTAGAGGGAATATCAGCAGCCAACTTGAAGTTTCGCTTGCCAATCAAGGTGTTACCGTCTTTTAAGGCAACTGACAAGACATCAGCTTTGGATTTGTCGAACGCAAAGACTTGGTTCCAGGCTCCGTCTGGTCCCACTGGTAGACCTCTTGTAGTGGACTGGTAGTTTCCGAGAGTGATTTCTACGGTAGGGACGCATGCATAGGTTATAGGGTTTAGGACAGACTTGTTGAGGGCTTTGATTACTTCTACGTAAAGAAACTCCATTGGCTCAACGAGGTCATGTGAAGAAGTTGGGCCATTAGGGTTTCGAGTTCCTCTTTCTCCTCCCAGCTTTGGAGAGATTTTCTTAACGGAGTAGTCAGCCATCTCTGAAACAAAACCTATAGAGATTAATACAAATAAAAAATGATCGAAATATACACAAATAAATTTTAGAATGGAAACACGTTGAGTTCGTTAATATTGTGGAAAGACCTAACTTGGACACTAAAACAAGAGTCATATTACTACTAAAAATAAATCCTCATAATTCTTGACCCTTTGACCGCTAAACAGTTTAAAGTTCTATAGTTACTTCTTCCACAAGAAAGAGCACAAGGAGTAAAAAAAAGTTCTAATGGTGACGAACCTTCGTCTGCTGATACAGTAAAAAGATGATTATAGGTTTAGGTTTAGGGCTTGATTATACACTATATATACACACAATACTTGCAGAAACCTAAACTAAAGAAATGGAACAATTCCAGTTTACATGGGCTATGAAGAAAGTGTAGTCTCGATTCTTTATATGTAATATTATATTTCCTCAATCGTCCATAAACTTTCCAACATTGGATTTTTTACAGAATCTGCATAAATCCGTTCTTGAGCTTTGCAAAATCATGTGTTTTACTATTGTGTTAGGGCTTCATTTATTGAATTTTTCTTAATTAAACTGTAAAGCCCCGATCGCCCACGGCTAATGGGCCACCCACGTTCGTTCACTCGGCCCATGGGCCCATCCCGTTCCAACGGCCGGTCCGTTAATTTTCCAAGGCTCTAGAGTCATGTTTACTGATCCTGCAATCACTACCCGACCTTTCCCCGTGCTTTGACCTCACTTACACGGTATCGCAAATCACTACTCGATAGGTAACCCATTATTTGACTACTTCAACTCAAACACGCTTAACTCTGGAGTTCTCTCTGGATGTGCTCCCGAAAAAGTAAGTGCACTTTAGTTACATAGGTAACCAAATCAATCTTTTTAAGCCTTTCCACATATCACAACACAGATGTTACATAAAGATGTTGCTTTGGGCTTCGTTTTAACCCATATTAAGCCTAATATATATTATGGTCAGCGAATGCATAATTCACTAAAACTCAAACCTTTATAAAATCATTAATTTTTTGAGAATCCAAGAAAAACCGAATTATATATACAAACGTTACAAAGTCAATTCATACATGCAAAGTTAGTTGCACCTTTCACGTGCGGGAGAGGGATTGCTCCGACAAACCGGGCACGAACTATGCAACTTGAGCCACGCATCTATGCATTCAGCATGGAAACAATGTTCACATTCAGGTAAACACCTAACACTCTCTTTGGTTGCATATTCCGACAAACAAATGGAACACACAACATCATTTGACCCGGTCGGGAGTCTCCTACTCTCACCTAACTCAACTTTCTTGTAAGACTCGATCGTAGACTCATCGAGACCCGTCCTCGTGATGGTGACTTGGACGTTGCTTGGTGGCTCCGGTGTTACGGCCATGGCGTGTTGTATTTGGAAAGAGACTCTCTCGGAACTGCACAAGACAAGACCGACGCAGAAGCTCAAGGCGATGAGTGGTCCCATTAGAGAGAGGCAGATAATCTTTAGTATTTGTAAGCTTGTGTTGTGAAGTCCTGTTTTCTCAAAAACAACAAAACTGGTCAACGGTGCAACTTGTGTGTATATAAATACTATTTACTTATTTAAAGATGTGACTGATTAATTAAAAAATAAAGTCAATGACTTAATGTGATTATAAAATGCCAACTTGAACAATTAACTATAACAATTCCTTTGGGTTTGAAGCTTTCAACCATTAATGGATTAGTACCTGAATTTACAGAACTGAAGCATTGAACTTGGCTTGTGGTATTGTTTCCACACCTCAAACTTCTCCTCTCGCAAGATCTGCAATCCGGCGAGTCCCATTTGAGCCACATGTCTTGATGGCTTATGTCACCATGGAATGGAAAAGGAGGAGGTACGTCACGTACTTTCTTGAAGATACGACAAGATGTCGGCATCAAACTGACTTGTTCAGGCTGCATGACAAAGAAGGAGGAGGTGGAATTACCAAGGCACTGGATGGATCTGGAAGATGGTGCGACATTCTCGTCCTTAGGACAGATCAAGACGGTGTAGCTACTAGGAAGAAACAGAGAAAAGGGAGACCCTGAAGAGTCAAAGCTGAGGAGTCGTCTAACCAAGCAGTTATCCGGGTCCCTGAGTCGAATTCGCTGCCTTCTATAATCGATCTCTCGGACTAGAAATGGTCCAGAGTTAGGAAGCTCCAAGGCCGTCTGGTTACGGTCAGTGCATAAGAGTTTGAATCCTGTGTGGCCACAGGATTCAGGTTGCTTGGAGGATAGCCAGAAAGGGAAACGGACGTCTACGTTCCCTTTTCCACATGTAGAAGTGTAGCAAGGTTTTGGGTTTGAGGCGTTTAGGAGAGGCGAGATGAAGAAGATGAGGAGGAGAAGGAGAAGGGTTTTTTCTGAGAAGGCCATAATGTGGCATGGCACTAAGGGATAGGTAGAAGAATAGTTATAAATTGATAGAAAAAGTCAGAACAATATATAATATACATGAATCTAATAAGTCAGAACAATATATAAAATACATGTATCTAATTTGGTATAGTTCTTCGTATATTCATTGACATCCATACATGTTCTATTATAAAACTAGTTCAACTATCTCGCAGATTATTCTTACAAATCATAAGGTTAGCCTAGTGTAGCTTTTTAATTAGTTATATATTACATAGAAGAGGAAAGAATTTGCATATTAGAAACTTGAAGCTTTTTGATTGTGTAAGAGTAGCTTCCACTAGTCTTTCTTATATTCATTTGTGCATGTGTTTTGTATAGAAAAGTTCAATATAATCTCTCAGATTAGTTTTGTACATTTTTGAAGAATCCAAAAAAAATCAAAATATGAAGAGCAACCTTGAAAACTCCACTTTACAAGTCAAAATGACAACAAAAAGAGATTAAAAACAAAGTGACAAACCTTACTTCACTCAACAAAATAAGAAAAAAATTCCACCAGGCTAGCCTAACACAAATTTCACTCAACAAAATTACTTCACCCAACAAAAATCCAAAGAAACAAGTATGTACATAAACAAAGGAATGAAAAAAGACAGAGGATCTTGAATCAGACACTACTACTAGTAGAACTTTGATGTGTCTCAAAAGAAGGAGGTGTGTGAGAAGAAGGTGAACCAATAGAGCCACGAATCCTGAATATTTCAAGAACAAGAAAAGCAAGTAATGTCACTGCCAAAACAAACCCATATCCAATTTTCCATCCATCTTCTCCACTATTCGCCATACGAATCCCAAGAAGAATGTTCACTGCTCCAAAGAACAAAGAGATTCTCCCAATCCAATGATGATACCAATTCCAATATCTCCTCATCTTTGTCTCCTTATGCGGCCGTGCAAAGAAAGCCAAAACCTACAAAAAACATATCATAAGCATGCATGTTCAACTATACAAGTGATATAACCTATATTTGATTCTCAAACCTGAAGAATGCTGAGGATTAGAAGAAAAATCCCAATGCCTCGATGTGCAGGTATATCTGGTTGGATCCTATTGTAAAGCCGAATCCCGAGAATAACAGCGGCTAAACCGAAGATAAATCCAGTGAACTGAATACCGATGTGAAGATAGTACCAAAGAGGGTCTCTATGTCTGAGATATCTCGCTAGGATTGCCCCTAGAGGAAGTAAGAAACCCCATCCGAGTATCGCCATTACTCCATGTTTTGTCTTCTCCGTAGATGCTGGCGTTTCTATAGACGTTGTTACTCCATTTGCTGCATTGACCAAGAAAAAAAAACACAAGAACATAAGTATTTGCAACATCCCCTCTTTTTTTTAGCTAGTGTAGACTCCAGATTAACTACATGAACTTATACAAAGTTTGCATGTAAAATATTAGTTTTACACCATTTTAGTCTATTTATTTTTTCAGATATCACTCGCAAGTTATATGGATTTGAAATATTAGTCTACCAAAATATTTTGTAAATTAGAAATGCATACGCAAAATACTTATTACATGAAAAATTACCATTACCATGCACTTGCTAAAATCTTTTTATACATAATACTTTTTACACTTACTAAAAAAAATTTTACACAATTTTATACATAATTTTGTGTGTAAAAAATAGTGTAAAATAGTGTAAAAAAATATTATGTTCAAATTAAACATAAATGTGAAAAAATATTATGTGTAAAATTGTAATTGCATCTGTTACAAAAAAAATGTAACTGCATATGCATTTTTGAACATTATCAGTTTACATTTTGCTGTTGGTGTTTGATAACACAACCATGAAAAGCCAAGAAAGTCACGTTCAGATCATTACCTTTAGAGAAGTCGACGATGACAGTAGTTTTATCATCATGTTTACTCAAACGCCCAAGCTTCGAAGGATAAGCTGTACTAAACGCAAGAATCACTGCTCTACGAGGCAATTTAACACTAAACTTAACCTGAAAAGCCAAGTAAATCATCGCTCCATGAAGAGCCACCACAGGAGGAACTTTCTGCAACTGTAACTCTCCTTGATCCGGCACAACTTGATCTCTCTCTGTTCCTTGAAGATAGTACTGTTTGATTTTAGCATGACCCTTCTTCGTAATCCACCCAACCATCGCACTTGATCCCACCATTCTCCCGTCTTTGGAGAATCCAACTCCAACCCACCCGGTTGTATATAGAGCTGATACTATGATTGTCATCACATTGTCTCTATTTTCAGAGTACTGCAAAAAAAAAAAAAAACAGAGGAAGTGGATTAAAATAAAAAGATTGTTTTTTTATTTGGTGAATGTGTAAAGGAATGGTTTTTAAGGTTACCCTTAAGACGAATGTGTTCCAGAGAGGTGTACACGGCATGGAGTCGGAGATGTTGCTGTACGGTGGTGGGAGGAAGTCAGATAAACGAGTTGCGAAACAGAGGTTTTGTGTGACGTCATCTGCAAGTAAGAAGGGAAGATCTTGTCCGAGTAAGAAACAGAGGATGTAGAATCCGAGGAGGGTTCTCATGGCCAAGAGCTTAAGCAGAGACGAGGAGTAAAAAAG